GGGGTGGATATTGGGGTGTTTGTAGTTCCTTACAGTCACAGTACACAAGAATCACAAAACAACTCTAACTAAATTATATTGTGGTTGATATAAGCACACAGATTTTACAAGTAAAGTTGCAAATTGTTTTTCACACACAAAAAGAAAACCTGTCTATTGCGAGAGTCTAGTTATGCTATGGAAGTGAAAGAATCTGGTAGTACTGACCTTTTAACTACTAAAAGAAACAGCATTTAAACTCAAAGCACATGAAAAAAGGTTAAATTCTGAGTTTAAAACCAGGCTTTTCTGTGTTTTTGTCTACCTATCAGAACTTTTCAGATAAGACTCTGAGGCGGACCAGAAAGTTTGTTGTTGACGGTGTGGAGGTGAGTGTGACCACCTCCAAGATCATCAGTGATGATGAGAAGAAGGATGAGGAGATGAGATTCCTCAGGTATGTGGGTGATCTTATTATTCCCTGGTAGCTAAGCCATTTTTCATTCGCTCTAAATGAGAGGCATGGACTCTTGTGTTCTCAGGACACAGTGAACACTGGATTGGGATTTATTTATTTATTTTTGTTTTATGTTTTAGTTCTTACTATTTAAGTCATCCTGCTCTTTGGGACTTTAGTCCCTTGAGATTAGAACTGTTATTGGAAAAAGTCTAATTTAGTCTCTGGTCTGAGAGGAAAATTTAATTTCTGAAATTACTTATTGGTTAAGTCAAAGTTCAGGTGATCTGTATTTGGCATTTGAAACAACTGATTTCTGTACTTCCTTTGAAGCATAGTGAGTTCCTGTGTTTTACTCCTGCCATCTAGTGGTGGGACTATGATATTGCACCTATGGCTGCAGTAATATTACGATATCATTCTTAGTTTAAATTTGGTGAAAATAATCTTCAGAAACTTGGTGCTCAACAAAAATTGCATTTTCTTTTGCTTCCATTGGGTTTGCACCATTCAGAGTGTTGTTAGTGGTCTGCCAGCATAAACATTGTTTTTATTATAAAGTAAGCTCAATTTATTCTACTCTCTTATTCATTAGTTTTCTGCTGCCATGGCCTGATCTAACCTGTGATATAGTTCTAACCTGTAATTTAAGCACTTGTGTTATTTTGCTACCAGTTATAGTAGATCTTACCTGGCATAGTTTCATTTATTTTAGGTGTCCTTAGCTATATACATACATACATACATACATACATTTGATTTGTTTTTTTGTAGGCGGCAGGAGCTGCGTGAGCTCCGTCTGTTGCAGAAGGAAGAGCAGCGAGCCCTGGCTGCTCTGAATGCCAAACTGGAAACACAAAGGGAACAAATACAAAGACGTTTTGACCAGGAGATGAATGTGAGTCACATTACTCTAACAGCTTTAACAACAGCATTTTCGTCTTTAGCTAAAACTTAGTCAGACAGTTGTTGCATTAATTCTATGGTCATATGTATTTTTGTCACACCTAAATGTTTCAGGTCATCAAATAAATTTAAATAGTAGACAAATATACCACATGAAAGCACAAAATGAAGTTTCTAAATGAAGGTGTTTTATTATTAAGGGTGAAAAATGCAAACCTACATGGCCCTGTGTGGGGAAAAAAGTAATTGTTTGCTAAACCTAATAACTGGTTGAGCCACCCTTAGCAGCAACAACAAAAATCAAGCATTTCCAATAACTAGCAGTGAGTCTTTTACAGCACTGTGGAGTAATTACCTTTGCAGAATTGTTGTAATTTAGCGGTTTTTGAGCATGAGCCTCCTTTTAAAAGTCGTGCCACAGCATCTCAATCGGATTCAGGCCAGAAATTTGACAAGACCACACCAAAGTCTTCAAGAAAAACAAGCTTTTTGTTTTTCCTAAGCCATTCAGAAGTGGACTTGCTGGTGTGTTTTGGATCATTGTTTTGCTGCAGAACCCAAGTGTGCTTCAGTTTGAGGTCACAAACAGATGGCCACACATGCTCCTTCAGGATGTTTTGGTAGACGGCAGAATTCATTCTGGTTCTGTTTACCACAGCAAGTCTTCCAAGTCCTGAGGCAGCAAAACGGCCCCAGACCGTCACACTATAATCACATTTTACTGTTGGTAGGATGTAAAATGCTTTGTTGGTTTTATGCCAGGTGTAATGGAACTCGAACCTTTTGTCTCGTCACTCCAGAGTATTTTCCAAAAAATGTGGTTAATCACAGTTAATCCATGATTTAAGAAGATCAAAGGGCAATTACTTTTTTACTTTTTCACACAGGACCAGGCAGGTTTGGATAACTTTTCTCCCTTAATAAATGAATGAAATAATTTAAAAACTGCATTTTGTATTTACTTGGCTTATCTTTATCTAATATTAAAATTGGTTTGACAATCTGAAACATGTAAGTGTGACAAATATGCAAAACACTCTGAAATTGGGATGGTTTCAGTTGCAATAAACTTTTGAACTAGAAACCTTTTCCTTGTTTGCTGTCAGCTAAAATTATAATGTGCATATCTCCTGTTGGTGTGTCCTAGACCAAGAAGAAGCACTCTGATACAGAGCTGGAGAATCTGGAGAGGAACCAGAAGCAGGCAATTGAGAAAATGGAGGAAGAACACAAAGTTAAACTGAAAGAAGAAACCAGGCGTATCAAAGCAGAACAGGAACGAGACTATCACAAATTCCTGGACCAAGTAAAACTAAAGAAAAAGGAGGTAAAGTGTGTGTGTGTGCACCTAAGCAAAATAAGCAGTAATCAGTTCACATATTCTTGCGTTTATTTAAGCCCATTTGATTCACAATAGGACATAAAGAAAGGGGGCAAGTCAAAGAAAGCTTTCAGTGCTCAGCCTCAACGACTGCACAGCTGTGTTGATTTTTGTATACTTTTCTGAAGTTCTGATGTCTGAGGTTTAATTACTGAAGTGTATTTTCTTTTTAGGTAAAACAATCTGTTGATAAGCTGCCCAGAAGTCAGCGTAAAGAAACCTTAAAACAGAAGATGATTTCCTTCCAAGAAATGAAGATGTCAGAGGTATGATGCTAGGTCATTTGTGCCATTTTGATGCATAATTACAGCTCAGTTAAAACAAATTTATTTTTTTTAACTCTTAAATTTAGTATTATTTTTCAGTCTATATTGTTTTGGTGGTGCAAGTTGCTCAGTTTTGGAAACATTTACAATTGTGACATGATCATAAAAAATATGTTGAATGCACTGGAGAAAGCTCCTTTTTCAGAAACAATGAACCTGGTAAATGGCTGCTATATCTAAGAACTATTCTTTTGCTATCAAACTATTTACCAACTTGATCACTGCAAATAGAAGTATACATCTACCAGGAAAGAGACTAGATGTAAACACTGATGGCATGCTTTTCAGTTGAGTTATGTTGGTTGCAGGCTTCTGGTACTTGGCATGTGTAGATTGTTTGAAGGGAAACGGCACCTGCATGAAACTGCTGATTTTTGTTTGATTATTCACCCACTCCTCAATTTCTCCTCCTTCTCCTTTGTTTAGGAAGAGAAATTCTTTGTAGCTCAGAAAAACTATCTGCACATCACACTGAGGAATATTATTTCCAACAACAAGAGAGAGATTGCAGACCTGGAGAGGGATTGCCTTAACAAGAAGCAAAGCCTAATCAGAGGTACAACATCTGTAAACCAAACAGAATCACAGTAAAAATTTCAGCTTGATTAGTTTTCTTCATTTTGTGTTTATCCCATCCTTGCTGTAGTTACCGTTTGATTTCATTCAGTGTCAACTTTTTAAATTTGATTAGAGCGTGAAAATACGATGTGGGACATGGAGCAGAAGAACCTTTATGAGAAACATCAGTTAGTGAAGCAGCAGATGAAAGATCAGTACTTCCTCCAGAGGCATCAGCTTCTCAAAAAGCATGAGAAGGTACACTAGTGGATATCATCTTGCCACAATATGTTTGCACACACAACTTGGTAACACCTAAATCACGATTACATGACAAAATCAAGTTAACCAATTCTGTGTTGTTGTTTTTTTTCCTGCAGGAAAAGGAACAGATGCAGAGCTACAATCAGCGAATGGTTGAGATCCTGAAAACTAAGCAGCAGCTGGAGAAGAGCCGACTGCCTAAGATTCAGCGCAGTGAGTCAAAGACTCGAATGACCATGTTCAAAAAGAGCCTTCGCATTAACTCATCGGGCAGTGCTGCAGAGGACAAGGAGAGGATCAAACTGGTGAGACAGAGGGGCTTTCTTACTGCATATTCACACATTCAGTTAACTATTTATTAACTTGCTCCATGTGTGGATCTCCAGTTTTCTCAGCAGGAGGAGAAGCGGCAGAAGGCGGAGAGGCTGCATCAGCAGCAGAAGCACGAGAACCAGATGAGGGAGATGACTGGTCAGTGTGAAAGCAATATCAGAGAGCTGCTGCAGCTACAGGTGAATGAGGGCAAATTTAATAAAACATTTTTATTACAAATCTATTTGTAGTTTTTTTTTTTTTTCTTCAAGAATATAGAGGACACTTAATGGGCTTAATAACTAGCCCACATTGCTTAACAAGCACATTTTCTGCTGCAGAATGAAAAATGTCACCTGTTGATTGAGAATGAGACTCAGAGGCTCAAAATGTTGGATGAGTCACACAACCATATGATGAAGGACTGGAGGGAACAGCAGAAGCCCAAAAGGAAGGTATGTTGTCTCCACTCACAATTTCTTACACAATGTATTGGAGTCTATTTTGTGGCTCAGATACCCCCCAAATACTACCATCGTAGTAATTTCTATATTTTTAAGAGCAGGCTTACTGGGAATTTTCTTTAAAAACACACTGAAATGTGCTTGGTGTGAATTGAGATAAAGATAAAAAATGCCCCCTTTTTCTTACTAAAGTTGTAATAAATGCAAACAATTGTAAAACATTTATGGTTACGGTATTTTTGCTCGGGTGTTTTGGAAGTGTTTTCATTCTGAGCTCCACTTTTCTGGTTCCAGGCTCATTCTTAAAACATATTTTGCTGTAGCCATGCAATTCAATAAGCAAAGTAGTAGTTAAGTACTTAAATGTACAAGACACAATGTAACAACCGCTTTCCCAATCATATAAAAGGAATGTTGATATATCAAATAATTCATGATTTTAGTGCTCTTTGTTTTCTACTTTGTTCACATTGCAAAAGCTTACATCTTTGTGAGGTAAACTTGTGCATTTTACATTCCCAGGCTCTTGAAGATGAGCTGAATGCCAGGAAAAGGGAGCAGGAGGCTTTCTTCAGGATGAGCGAGGGTTCCGACTTTCCAAACCCCAGTTCTCCCAACAGAGTCTCCAAGTTTATGCCGTATCAAGACGAGACTACCACATGAGAACAGATGCTGTGACATTACACAATATTATCTTCTGCCCACT